CTCGCGTTCATGCTACCAGGACACATGCAGACAAAACAGATCTTATCGAAATTTTATTATTATAATATTAGTTGAAGTATGATCAAATAGCATAGAAAACTAGAGCATTCTTTTCTCTATCACTGCATAAAAAAAGAAAATTTCTTTGAGCTTATTATAAGGAAATAAGATAGTGACGACACTACTTTTGGATTGCCCTAAGTACATGAGATAATGAATATTAACACCCTTAAGTACACATATACGCCATATAGAATAATAGTATTATGATCGGCTATAGCTACCAGTAGGAACGGAAAACGATGAATATGTAAATAGTTGTAAGCAATTGATAAAAACACTTGGTATTGCTCAAGAAGCACTGTCTCACAGTGATCATTTTTTTGTAAAGCAGGCGGACATCTGATTTTTTGAGTTAAAAAATGGTTATTTCGTATAATATAGTCTTATTATGCGTCAAATATTAATAGAAGTAAAACAAGTCGAATTCGAAAAAAATCTTTATTAGATAAACCGTGCGTTTAAGGAACCCTTGCCCTGTATTATCGTCAAAAAGCGTTTTATTTGTAAAACTAACAAATTATACATCATTCGATGCAGTTTATCACGCTGATTCCGATATGTATATTGTTCAGATAGAGCTTTTTGCAAGACGAAAAATTTCTATAAAACCTCAAAAACTAAGGGTTTTGGGAAAACCTGTAGATAGTCAAGGAATGGGTTGGGACATTTTAGGAGATCACTATTGATTCAGCATATGTTAAGGAACATTTTTATAAAAAAATAATGTCGGTTTGATTCCGGCGCGCTCCGGCGCTGTCATTTTACTGAAGAGAGCTTATTTTCATTAGAGTTATTTTAATTTAAGTTTTTTTCTGCCACTAACTATAATTATTTTGGAACGTTTTCTCAAACGTTTCAATAGCTCATTCCAAGTGCTTTTGGAATCTGGAGTCATTTTCCTCGACACTACATTTCATTTAGGAGAAAAGTGACTTTTATTAGTGAATAGTCAGTTTCAACCGGAGTTTTTGATATGTGAATTTTTCGGGAAGCAAAAATCATAGAAGAAAAATTCTTTCGCCATCACATCGGCCGTCGTTCGAAGTATACCAGTCATTATTTGGAACATGAAAAATGAAGCTTGCGTTTCTTTGCCGAAAGAAGGCCTGAATGCCCACTGTGTGTCTGTATCAACAACAGTCACAACACCAACGCATAAGAAAATCCAAATAGGCGAGCCAGAAGAGATAAGCTCAACGTTGATGATATATTCCCAGAGTTTGGTGGTAAATACGCATCTTCAACAGATGACGAAAATGATGAACAAGATGATGAAATCAATGAATATGTTAAAACAAAATGCATTTATCCAAAAGGTGAAAGTATTTAACGTGGAGGAAAGATTGTTCCACATCAACTCACCTAATTCATGGATTTGTCACTTTCTGGAATTGAAAACTCACGTGCTTTTTCGATTCCTCAAAACCTTGATTCCGAGACTGGTTCAAAGAAAACTAGATGGAAACTCAAAGAATTTTTTTAGGTATACAGTTCCTTCAGACTTCTAGCAGAACAAAAGTTTTATGAACAGTTTGTTATTGATCGAATGTGTGTGCCTTCATACTAAATCATACGTGTTTAACATACAAGATACATTTGACATTGATTTTTTTAACGCATAAAGGATGCATCGTTCCAAATAAAAGTTATCCGAAAAGTGATACAACAAGCTGAAAGGTATGCGGCAGCTACCATGGGTAAAGGCTTAGCTGGGAATACAGTGTCAAAAGTACTGAAAGATATTGACAAGGCCTTAGGACCTTTGGGTCTCGACTATTGGGTGTTGATGGAAGAATTTGCCAAAGCTTCTGTTCAAGTTAGTTTGAGTCGAAATGTTGGTATTGCTGTTTATCATGTTGTGGATCTTTTCGCCCATTGGAAAAAAACGAGTTTTATTTAAATCAGTTGTATGCAGCCAATGAGAATACTAATTGTTAGATAGGAAAACATCTTTTCATTCTCATCAATTATATATAAAAACTATAATCTATCGCTGAATACACAAAAAAAGTACTTATACAGATATTCAACAATATATTTTATGTTAGGAATGAAACTAATCACGGTAGCGCTTAAGAATTGTTAATAAAAGTGATCCGCATGTTGCGTCAGTTTCAAATGAGTGACTTACACTGTTTTAAACGCTGATGTTTTTATTATCTCATTGTTTTAGACCTTGCCTCATACACTGCATGACATTGAAATAGACAGAAGTAGTTTCAAAATAGTGAACAATTAGCGCAGCATCAAGTATACGTGAAAAAGACTATTTTTTTAAACATTCTTAGCAAATAGGAAACACAAAGTTGCTTGGGAATCCAAATTTTTAGACTTAGAAAGTCAAAATGACGGAGATCAAAGGATTCGAAACAGTTACTCGTGAGGACAATTACTTGTGCGCAGTTTAAGGCTGATAAGTCTTCGTTACTGTCTGGTACTATTACACTTGAATATGTATAATATTGTACAGAATAAAATAATAGAAAGAAAGGAAAAGTAATAATATCAATTTGCGAGATTACATTTGATCTTTGTCATTTTCTGACGCATAAAGGATGCATCGTTCCAAATAAAAGTTATCCGAAAACTAATACAATAAGCTGAAAGGTATGCGGCAGCTATCACGGGTGAAGGCTTTGCTAGAAATGCAGTGTCAAAAGTACTGAAAGATATTGACAAGACCTTAGGACCTTTGGGTCTCAACAATGGGTGTCAATGGAAGTATGGGCCAATTACGAACAGCGCTGCTCCGTAATCAATCCTTCACCAAGTAATTGTACCAGATCGAAGTTTCTTAGCTGATCTATTCAAGTTAGCATCATCGATTAAACAACTATATCACCATCTATAATTGTCTAAAGATTGCAGATCTTAGCTCAGGCTACTCAAACTCTTTACAATGTGATACACTTTCACGCATATAATATGGAGATAAAATGGCATATCTAATCTACAAAGGACTCGAAATTCTCAGAGATCCAAAATAGCGGGATATTACCCAAGCGTCAAAAAAAATCTAGTATCGCCCGATTCATCTAGATTACTAGATTTTTACCCGATCGCAACTACTGTGTAACAGGGCTGGCACCGGGCCATATTTTTAGCGGCCCATCCCTACCGACTCGGTATTTACTGTGACGTATCCCAACCGGCCCGTATGAATTGATTATTCAGCCTGCCCGGCCCGAACTGTGATTTTATGCGACCCGACCGGTCCGGCCTGACTTGGCCCGACAAGTTTTTTCAACACTTTATGAAATGTTTATATTACTAATGTAGGTTAGGATAAACATGGATTTTCGTTTATAATGATAAGGGCCACCAATATTTCTATTGATCTGTAGTATATGATCTAACGCCCCCCAAAAAAAGTGCTTCCTTTCGTGATTTTTCGTCGAATTTTTGGGGCAGTTTTATTCTGCCTTAAATACATTGCTTGTGCATTTATTCACAAATCACTAATACAGTCTAAGTGTAGTTCAAGTGCATTTAAACGATTACAAGCTCAATTTTATTTTGAATCGATAATTATTGATTAGAATTCTTTTGCAATGCATTTAAGGCAGAATAAAACTGCTCCAAAAATTCGACGGAATCCGTAGCAACGGCATCCCTTCACCGTTAGATCAATAGACTAATGCATACTTTATCACAGAACTCTATTCTGTATGGATGATCAAGTAGTTTATCAACATAAACTTAAACGAAGGACGGTTTTTCACAAAAAAATGAAATAATAATAAAACAGAGTCGGGCCGGGAGCCCGACTATTTAAATTGATCCGACCGGCCATAAACCGCCTCAGCCCGGCCCGACCGCAAAATTCCGGACCGGGCGGGCCAACCGGCCCGTTTCCTGCCCTGCTAAATATCACAATAGTCGCTACCCTTATACTAGTACTGAACTGAATATATTCTTATTCTTATTTTTTCTAACTATCTTCGGGCAAAATCTGAATTTCAGTTTTGTCTACTCACAAGCAGAATTGGAGTACTGGCCAGGCAAATTTAAAATGTGCTCGGACGAAACTTAAATGAGATTTAGCCCGGAAAAAGTTCAATTTGATGTTTGCCTACAACATGTACATCTATATATCGAAGATTAACTATGAGAGCATAAAATCTGTGAGAACTGCTTGTCTCCGCACATTCTACGTTTACAAATTCTTTTTTACAAAGATTTTATACATTCAAAATCTGTGCGTACCCATGACCCCTGGTTTTCTCGTTTTTCTAGCTTTTTGCTGAAATAAATGTCTTAAAATTTTTTGAATTGTCGAGTAAAATGAGGATATCGCTGAAGTTGTGCGTTTCCTTTGACTAAACGCGTGAAATTCGGATTGAGCACAAAATTCTATATAAGACAGTATAATTTATTGATAACTCCGAGGAACTCTACTGGAAAAAGTCAAAAAGTGAAATAATTCAGTTACAAAATGTGAAAGATATTTTATGAGATTATAAAAGAACAATTTCTTAATTAATACTAAACTACTAATCATTCTATCTGATTCTATTTGTTTTGACTTAAAATCTTGAATTTTTCGGTGAGAAAAGATGTACGAGCAATTATGGTTCTTAGAGAAAAGTAAAAAATGGCAGAGACGATATTTTCATGTAAAAATTAAGTTCATCACTGTTTCAACTTCATTTGAACTCTGCGGTGTTTCTATAAAAGAAACTGAATTTAGAATAAAATTTGTTGTGTCTGTTAATCAATGTTGTTATGTAGTCTATCGTCTAGATTGCACGCGTGGAAAGAAGAAAAGAAAAGAGAGAGAAAAGAAAAAAAGTAACAAAACAGGAAAAATGCCTAAATTTACTATGAGAAACCGCAGAGACCGCGAGGACCCTACCAGAAACTCAAAGTAGAATTATAAGAAACCCGCTGTCGGATTCGCCGTGAAATTCTGCATATATTTCCTTAGTTTCAACTAATTTGATGCAGCGCGGTAAAAGTACCTAATTTTCCAATGTGTACGACTGAAAAATGAATTTGTTTTCGAAAACTTCATCGTTTTTCCCAGAAAAATATTGAAATTATTGTTTTAATGATAAAACAAAACTGGTTTGCTTGAATTCTACTGAATACATTTTGTTCGAACGTAAATAAACAAACACAATGTTTGTCTCTGAAAAAAAATTCTTTTTTCATTTTAACCGTTAATTTATTTTAATCAAAAATCTCGATGTTTACGATGTTAATGATAATGAAGTAATTGAGAAGAAAGAAGCTAGAAAAATAATTCGGTTATTGTTTAAAATAACAAACATGTCCGAGAATGATGTTGAAAATTATACAGAAACCGTCAT